AATATAAATATATTTACATTAATATCATTTTTTTTGTGTTTGTTTTGGGTTTTACGTCACATCGACACTGTATAGGTCATATCGCGACGTTCCAGCTTTTCTGGTGGAGGAAGACCTCAGGTGCCCTTCCTTGCATTATTTCAGGCACGAACGGGCACCTGAGTAGAACCACCGACGTTCCGTAAGCTAGCTGGATAGCTTCCTCACATGAAAGAATCCAAAGTCCCTGTCGGGATTCGAACCAACAGCGGTGAGGGGCAAGTGGTTTGAAGTCAACGACCTTAACCACTCGGCCACGGACGCCCCACATTAATATCATAGTTTAAATTATAATGAAAATGCAAAATATCTTGTAGAAGTCATGAATAATAAACTTTAACAAAGGAAACAATACATTTCCATTTCACACTTTTATCACCAAACTTTAAGTTGTGTAGAAAAGTGTCTCATTAGATAAACCCTACACGTTCTTTTTATGTATCTTCGACTACTGAATATACATTGTAATAACAATCACTTTTACAGCATTTAGATGTACCTACATAAATACCCTTATAGAAAAGACTATCACACTATTTCCCTCCTTTTTCTTTCTGGAGACGTGTGCATATATTTTTCACACTGGACTGTCTCAATTTCAATCTCTTCCACTTTTCTTCTCGACATTAACACTTTTGAAGTTTCAGCTTGAATCCTCCACAATTATTAAATATTTGACTAAAATCAGAGGTCTAAAGCATCAGTCAGTAAATAAAGTCAGTGTTATCAAACTTGATACAAATTCAAATTAAACTTTCATCTCTTTATAGATAAAATTTGTCAAACTTGTATCCTCCATTAAACTTAACACATTTCAAAGTCAACATGTTCCTTTTTAAGTAAGGTTCCAAATATTTTTAATCTAAAGCAAAATAACTTAAATATGACTTCAAGTAAAACTTGTGTGAATGAATGAAATTCTGTCCTGTATGTAAAACTTAACATATATTATAGATTGAGTTAAGGACATTTTCTTTTTGAAATCGTGATTATTCTCAAGTTCTTAGTTGACTTATTTTAAGTCTAGTCCAATTTCAAGCTTGACGACCTTTTGAATTACCTTACACCAAACAGGTTCAACCACAAACAGATGTTAAAGGAAACCTTATGATCTATCATCTGCCAATCAGAGAAAATTCTTTGAGTTTATTGTTGAAGAATCTTTCCATGGTGTTGGCACATTTATAATACTCTGTATCAGGTTTGTTTTTAAGAACGACAATTTGTGAAAATTCTCATCATGTCGGCCATGAACAATTTCTTGTGAACGTAGTATCTGTTCTTTAAAAAACGATCTCCCATTGTTCTAAGATCTATAAATAGAATTTGCAATTGATTTAAAGTCAATTTATAATCAAAACATACATAAAATCTACAAAAAATATTTTTTTTCTTAAAGCTCCACATTTGACATTTTAATGCAAAAGTTATCCTTTAAAAAGGGGTTGACAAAATATGTTCTGAAAACATTAATGAACTGATCATTTAATTTTGGTTGCGTTTTAAAAATCACACTGACAATTGATGGTCATATTGCGACATTGGTAAAGGAAAACATCAGGTGCCCTTCCGTGCAATTTTTCAGGCACCTGAGTAAAAACACTTCATAAGTCAAGTGAGCATTCATGATAAAACTTTATAACAGAAACCCTTAAATGTTACAAAATATTAAAATATTCTGAATTTAAAGCAAGAAAAGTTAACTACATAAAAGTAGCAAGGGGAAAAAGCATAAAAAAGATAACAAAGAAAATACATATGTCACTTACCCATAGGAAACTTGATGTAATCATAATAATCAGGGGCTTCAGCTTTCTCCACTGGTTTCAGGAAAGGCCATAGCACTAGCATGAGTCTGTAAAACACAGGGAAGTTGTTTTTTTCTATTAACAATGCTAGTATATAATTTGGCTAACAGTCATTTGAATTAAATGTTTTCTGTATGAATTTTATTGAGAACTTCTCTTCAAACTCGACAAACACTTTTAATGCAACTACTACTGATATATAACTGTTAAAGGGAAAGAACTCTGATAAAATTGTTAAAACTGGTAATTCAATGCCAAAGCAGTTATCAGAAAATCAAAATGCATACCTTAAGACACGAAAAAAGAGATACAGTTAAATAGAAAGTTTCCAGGTCCTATAATATCAACAAAAGATGCGTGTAAATAGTAATATAACTTTAAAATGATATTATTACCTTGTAGTGCTGTAGAATTGTTTTAAAGATGTTGTAGAGCTGATCCGAGTCCATTACAGGTTCCTTCCTAGAAACAGTACATAACATGGCATTATGATATTGATATTGACATCTGTCATGTCAGAATGTACAATGTAACAGACAGGTTAAAGTGACATTATGCTCATCAAAGGGTATAAAGTGAGTAAACAGATGAAAGTCAAAATTAATTTATATTTCACCAGAATTCTTTCATTTTTATAATTTACTTTGTATTACCGACAGAATGAGACAGTTTTTTTTTATATTTTCGTCTCATTAATAATTTATCCAAACCATTTTTGTACATCAACTGTTAGTCAATCACCATAAAAGCAGTCAATCTATAGATGTAAAAGTTAATTTATCTCAACTTGACAATGAAAGTATGAGCATTTCCCATACACATGGAAAGAAGTAATAAAGATAGAAGATAAAAGATAAAAGATTCATAAAGATAAAATAAAGCTTTTCAGAGTATAAAAACCCTGAAATTAAGGAAAATACCTAAAAACTTTTAACCGTACATGCATCAGCCTTAACTTTACATTTTGTCAAAATCTTTGTGCCTTAAACTCCATGATACACATCTCCAATGAAAAAATAAAAGGTCTTTCTTTAAGTGTCAAATACAGAGAAAGATGCACTTAACAAATAAAACGTACGGTTTATCAGATGCAGGTCTCCTGCCACAGTCTTGAAGACCATTTTTTTCACTTATTTAGACTTAGCCAAGTCTGCTCCTCCTTCGCGATTGACTGCACTGTTTACAGTCGTCTGTCCGTTTTTATACTTTTATCATTATGTAATGTGATGTAATATAATATAACAGACACATGTATTTTGTTTGCAGCATTATAACAAAGAAAAAACTTTATACAATTATATTATATGAAATAATATACACAGTTGTTTAATTTTATGTAATATATACCTAACGATATTTGTAACATAGTATTAAGTGCATTGAAAGCAGGTCCGTGGGAAGCATTTTCAGATTGGAGTGGGAGGGGCTAACTTCACTCATTTTCAGATTGGAGTGGGAAGGGCTAACTTCTCTCATTTTTAGATTGGAGTGGGAGGGGCTAACTTCTCTCATTTTCAGATTGGAGTGGGATGGGCTAACTTCTCTCAGTCCTGAGGGTTTGTTTCAGTGGTGTACATCTTATAGTAGTCGGACAAGTTCCTTTATAATACCACCCACCTAATTTAACGTCTTTTTACCTCATCCATTGAAAATGGAATCTGGTGTATTTAATGGTGACTTCTGTGTATTTCAGATTGCCTTTTTTTTGGAATACACGTTATTTTACAATTCCCAGGAAATTTTAGATACTAAACCAATACATGTATAATGATATCAACACCACTGTTTTCCTTGGATTTGTTTTTCTCAACATATTATGCTAAACAAAATACATATATCCTAAGCACCTAAAGAGCTTCATTTTTTGACATGTTTTTCAAATACATCTTAGATATGCTCCCGTATTATCTAACTAAAACGGTTTCAAAATAACTGCTCCTTAGGGGTAATTATAGCGGACGTTCCCACTACGACGTAAAAACCGTATCATACAGTTATGTACTTGACAATTAAATATTCTGAAAATGTTTCTGAAAATTTACCAACTGTCGGCGATTACTTACTAAATGTATAATTTTATAATGTATAATCTATCAATTTGCGACCATAACGAATTGCATACTCATGCATTATGTTTGTACACCACATCGCATGAGCTTTATTATATATTATAAATTGGCATAAAATAATTGTGAATTATACTATCCGTAATTCTATACCTGAACTGCGCATGACAATAATTAGAATACCGATGTATCTATATGAATTTTGATAGACATTATTGCCGACCTTTACTGTCCCCCTATATAGTAAAACAATTTTAAACCGTAACATTTAGCAAAGACTTTAAAATTATCTAAGCGGAAAACGCTTGTCAGATTTCTGAAAAAAATTCGTTCTTGTATTACGTTTCCGCGGATTTGATATCAAACTGGATGCTTATTTGTAATAGATATTTTGCAGATTAGTAAACATTATGCCTGTAATATAATTATAAAATTGATCCTCTGATGTATGGAGGCTATTTGTTGCCAAACATCCAGCCTTTGAAACTTGACAATGCATACTTTGGTTCTACTAAACAGATTAGTAAAAATCTAATTGTCGATCCGAGAGTTACATACTGCACTTGTGTTAAGCGTTTTGATTATCTCGATTGATAAAATGGAAGCTGTTTACATGCAAACTGCATTTAGAAATGTATAACTTTAAATTTGCGACATGTAGAAATGTTAACAATAGAACGTGCCAACACGTTTAATGCTGTGCATCATGACGTGTCAAGAGTGTAACTGCACCGTTGACACTCTCAGGTTAACAACACCACACTTCCTTTTACATTTTAACGCGATTAACATTTATAAACGATTTTGCAACTTCCATATATGGAATTATCACGCAAATAGAAGAAAATTAATAGGCGGAGCCAATTTTCACGAAAGCAGAATATAAAGAGAGGTACTAGTAACTCTTGCTGGTACAAAAACATAACAAATTATATAAAACTGTTATAAATTTCACATACATTAGCTGCAGTTGACTTTGATTTTGTTAAAACGTATTCTAGCACAGGATATTAATTTAAAAGTAATGCAAAATTGGTTAATATATATTGTAACAATGTAACAACGTTTATACTGATAATGAGCATAATAATATGCAAAAACTAAAGTTGGTGAATATATAACATAAGGGAATGTTTCCCATATATGACGACACAAACCACATTTGTATTTATCGACAGGATTTTATGCCTTCAAACGTTACAACGGTAGTATTCGAAAACATGTCGTTTACATTCAGCAAATATTACTACAATGCGATACATGGAAGTCACTTTTGGCAACATGAACAATAAGCCTGTGCCTTCCTCCTTTAAAGGACTATATTGGGTTGTAGAAAAACCCAAATGTTTTACCATGTGTTTAGCTATGGAACTATTCAAAGGTTTCTATCGATAATTCCGTTGTATAACCAAAAACTTGTGAATGTGTATCCTAGGTTCAAAAATCATAAAATTCATTTTTTACACAGATTAGCTTGGACATGTAATACATGAAGACATGCAAAATATAATTCAGAAATACGAGAAAGGAACTGAAAAGCGTATTTTTGTGCTATTTTTGATACGATTCTAGTTGAAAGCGTTTAAACGCTTTTCCATTTTGGGTCATTTTTCACAATTTGAATAAGTATCACGGATAAAGCGCAAGAGCGAATGATATAAAATTTTGCACACAAGTTACTGATCTAGACCTACATCGAACTGACCATAAATCTCGATAAATTATTTCCAGTTTCGTCATGTCAAAAAAACTCAGCGGAGTCCCTTTAAATATTATTATAAAAAAATGGTAATAATGGGAAAATATATCTATAGAGTATGGTAAAAATAAAAAGTTATGTACGAAACGGTACATCGACTTTGGTTTAAATTTTACTTTTGTTAAAAGGTTTTTCTTGTCAAGTTATACGCTAGAATAAAGGTTAATAGTAAATGCTTCTGTTTGGAAAGACAACAGCCAGAATTTGGTCTGTATTAGTAATTAGTCGTATCGAAATCTCTAACAGATGTTGACCTGAAAATTTGAAAGTGGTAAGGTAGCAGCATAACTGTCAATAGTACTTATTCATATTCAATTTGGAATCCCCTCAGTAAAATTCATCTGTCGTTGAATATACAGCAGTCTTATCAATGAAAAATATTTAACCTCAGACAGTAAGTAACCTGGTGAGGAGGGTTTTTTTCTTTCTTTTTTATTTAGGAAATGTGATATCTTCAACGTTTCAAAACTTATATGCCTATAATCATTTAAAGTCCGATGATGTTGATTGAATAAAGGCATACAATAGCAATAATGCAAGTGAATTATGTTGGGTGAATAACTAAACACCTAAAAGGTGTGGTAGACGGAAACTACGACGGTGCGTGTTCTTGTTTCCTTTTTAATACCGAAAATGAGCGGATAAATACGTCTATTTACGATGATGTAGTGGGCGGGAAAATGGGCGGAACTTATTTTATCTCCTATTGAAAAACGTGTAAAGCTGGATTATGCTGATCCGAATCATGACGGTTCGAGAATGTAACTTTTTTTTTCGGCGTATACACGAACAATGAGTATTCCGCATGTTATGATGAACACTTGGTATTGCTACTATCAGCTAGAAAAACAGTTAATGTTGTGTCGTTTAACAAAATGTACAAAATACATTGTTGAAATACATGTTTACAGTGTTAAATCGGCAAACTCAATCCAAAAATGGAGTTTACATACAAAGAAATACAATTGTATTTTTGCCTATAAACAAACTGATCGAATCCGATCAAACAAGGCTGGATTTTTTGGCAACGAATAGCCTCCATATGGATAAGAAAAAAATACGCACACCTATCATCTTGCAGAAGACGTTCAAATGCCCGGGTAAAGTACCTGGCCAGCTCATACCTAACATGACGTGCAGTTAGTACATATACGATTTAGATTCACCGTTTAAATAGCGGATTATGAATTTGTCAAAAGTTATGCTAGCATTTTGTTTTGTTTGGATGTTGTGTGGGTCCATGACAGTCGAAGCCTGCGAGTTTTGGTATGCACAAAATTATCTATTTTACATTGTATTTTTAGGGAAAATAACAAACATGTTTCATTTTACATCTGAACTTTTTTATCTTTGTGTAAATAAACAATTCATTTATTACGGTACGTTGTGATAACTAAAAATGTAGACTGATAGACTGTTCTTGTTTCACTTGGTGAAAAAAAAAACAAGTTGAAAATTGATGTGTATTTCATCCGCTTATATCTATTTTATCAGAAAATCCATCTATTCTGTTAAAAAGAATTTTCATTATATTTTCGTGTTTCTCTTGTTTCTTGCTTCTGATAAAGCGATTTTGTAATTCCATTACTCTTTTCTTGATTTGAAATTTAGACACAAAAATTATTCGAGTTTTATGT